TCAACAAAATTTTACTTGCATATAATGTTAATGATATTGTTTGCTGTTTCCCCAGTTACATGCTATTACCTTTCTCTGTAATGGACATGTATATGGATTGCTTCCAGTTGGCTTTCCAAGGAGCGGCTTTTCAAATTGCTCTGCAGAGAGTGAGACCTTTCAGTGTTGCATCCATTTGTTGAAACATCTCAATTAATATTCTGACAATTCCTGGAGTCTTCTTTTCCCCTAATACCTTCATTGTAGCTTGAATGTCTTCTTTCAATACCATTGTGTAGTATTAAATAAAATTCTCGCTGGGGGGTGAGGTGCCAGCCCCACCCAGTAATACTACCTCTGGGTTCAGTAATGCACAATTGTACGGTTGAGATACATAAGCATTATATTAAAGTCATCGAGAGCATGAGAGATAATACAATAATACAGTCAGGCATGATACATAGCAACATTGCTCACCTCAGCCCAGCTTGGTGGTCCACGTGGAGAGAGGGGGAAGGGAAGGAGGGAAGGGGAACAAGGGAGAGGGGACTGAGCAGGGAGTGAGCAGCAAGGAGCTCAGGGTCAGAGTCAGAGAGTCAGAGAGAGCTCTATAGTGCTGGCTCACACCTATATACCTTCTGGGGGCAATCCAGCCCACTAATTACAGGTAAAGACATACGTCACAGGAAGGGGCTGCACTATAGGTTACACAGCAATGAGAGGGTGGTCTCTGGGTCTCCATAGGAACATTATCAGTAGGGTGTAAACCCCACCTAGAGGAACCAAGCTAATGGTCCCAAAGCTTCAGAGAGAAGTAGGCCATTGTCCCCAGCAGCAGGGAGCAGGCCCAGCCCTGCTGTGGGATGAGACAGCAGTCTGGCAGCAAGTGTCTGACTTCTCCCCACACCATTGATTCTTCGTCATTTGCTTCTTTTTAAGATGGTTCAAAGTAGACCCGCCCTTTCTGCTATGGTGACTCTGTGTGTTCCTTCTACGTTTATTCTTCCTACATCATTAAATGTTTTCTCCACAGACTCCTTCAGGATGGAAACTCAAGGCTTGAAACTTTTCTTCAGTTCTTTCCTTGTGTTTTCTAACTCTGTCTTTACATATTTCATTATTATATTTTACTTTGTCTTCTTACTCCAGCGTTTAACATCTTCTGTTAATTTATTTTATGTCATCCTTTTTTCCCATTCACTTTAACTACTCCACTTTCAAGAGTAAGTTTCAGAGTCTCATCTAACATCCATATTGGCCTTTTCTTTCTTTCCTGACCTTTTATTAACCTTTTGTTATATTTATGTAAGATTTTCTTTCTTTCCTTCATCCCACAACCCATCTGATCTTTGGTTATTAGTGTTTTATAGTTCTAATCTATTTGTGAAATGCTTTCTAAGTGCAGCTGGGGTATACGCAAGGTTGTACTTTGGCTCTCATGTACTTGTTTCATTTTCTTGAGTTTCAACTTGAACTTGCATGGAGCAGTTGGTGTTCTGTTCTTTAGTCAGCTCCCTGGCCTTCTTCTGACTGGTGAGGACTTTATTATACTTCTCCATCATCTCTTTTAACAGATGTAGTTGATTTGATTCCTGTGTTTTCATTTGGCAAGGTTCATAGGCAGAGTCATTATGATGTTGAAAAGATATATTAGCAGGGACTAAGAGGTTGGGCTTGCAAAATTCTATCAAGTGATTTCCCCATGGCATTTCTATCATCAAATCCATATTTTCCAAAAACTGGGCTTTCTTTATTTCAATCTTTAACATTCTAATCACCAGTAATTATCGATGCTTCATGATTGCATTTGTGATCCATTTTAGACTACTGAAGTAGGTAAAAAAGTCATTGATTTCTGGGTTTCGGGCTGTAGTGGTCTTTCTTGTAGTAATTTGGATATTATCCTTATCAGTGCTACCATGAATAGATCTTGAAATATTCTTTTTGGTGATAAATATGATCCTACAAATCAACAAACAAAACCTAGTTTCACCAGGTCATTTCCAACTCATAGAGACTTTATGGAGAGTTTTTGAAATTGTAAATCTCTGTAGGAACAGATAGCCTTATCTTTGTCCTGTAAAGCATTTGATGGGTTTGAACCACCGATCTTGAGAGCAGGCCAAAGCCTAACTCACACTACCCACCGGAACTGCTTGAATATGACCCTATTCCTCTTTAATTTGTTATTCTTAGTATAATAGCCCATATGACTATCTGATTCAAAATCGGATACCAGTCCATTTCAGCCCACTAATGCCTGGGATTTGGATCTTTATGCATTCCATTTCATTTTTGATGACCTCCTGTTTTCCTGGATTCATTTTCCATATGATGCACATTCTGATTACCAATGGGTGCTTGTAGCTGTTTCCTCTCCATTTGAATCGTGCCGGATGAGCCTCCCAGGTTAGAAGGCACTGAAAGTAGAAGCATGGGAAAGTTACCTCCTCAAAGCATTTTTTAAAAAGCACAAAAGTCTTGCCCCTGTCATTGTGTTGATTTTCATGTAGTGTGATCCCACACAACAGCATAGACCTGTCCCATAGAGCTCCTAAGGCTATACATCTTTACAGAAACAGATGAACAATACAGTTTTCTCTTGGAAAGTGGCTGGTGGATTCAGACCATTGTCTTTTCAATTGACAGTGCTTAACCCACTGTCTCCCTTCCCTCCTACCCCCAATCTCCTTTACCTCCATGTGTGCTTGTCCTCATGGGATGGAGAGCAAAGCTTTGAAATGCTCCATTTGCTGGTGTGGCATGACTCAAAACGAGAAGAGACAATTCAATCAGAGTATGTCTTAATAACTTGCTTAATTCTTCTGGTAGAAGAAAGTATTTGTTGGCAGATAGAAGAGTAGAGAGAGATAGTAGAAATGATATTTTATTGATAAAGTGTTGGTATGGCATATTGGAGAATGTCCACCTTCTGAATATTAAGACATTTTATTTGCTCACGTAGCTATAATGTAATTAGTCTTACCTTTCAACTGAGAGAATATTTTCACTTATTTCTTACATTTGGTGGGCAATGAGTAAACATTTGCTACATTTGATTGTCCTTTTTAGTTCCTAAAATTTAGACTCTACACTTGTCACATGTCCTTCAGAAGCCCAACTTCTTTAATCTACTTTGAGCTTGGAATGTAACAGTAAAGATATACATAAGGTGTATATATAAGGAGCTATTTGAGGAAAATTCGATAAATGGCCATAAAGCAGAGAAAATAAGTACCGTAAGTGTGTAGAAGAAGCTCTCCAGTTGAGCAGAGTTCTACTCAAAAGCATAAGCAGGCTACTACAAGTGGCAATTCTCCTGGAAAATAGGGAGCCTATTGCAAATCATGGTTTCTTCAGTGTTAATTTATGTGCTATTTTAAAGTCTAGTAAATGGTTTCCTCTTTTTTCCCCCCTCTCTAAGTATTAGGAATATTGGGGTGGGGGAGCTCAAGCTTGAATGTGCCACACATAAGTTCACAACAATTTTTCATATGCTCCTGGTACAAAAATTCATGCAAATGATCAGGTCAATCCTAACAGTGGGCACTAGGCAGCGACAGATGATTTCCTTTCACAGGTAGCCCCGGGATGTGATATGTGGTCCTACTGACCACTCATACCTGCCCTATAAGGTTCTGGAAAGTTGCCCACACTTTGAAATGACTGAACCAACTCCTACTGGGAACACATTCTTTATCAAAATCACTTTCACTTGGTTGATCTGCAGCACTTTGAAAAGACTTGCCTTTTCTTGGAATTCTCAACCACTTGGCCTTGAGTCGATCCCAACTCCTGGTGGTTCTGTACCAGAGTAGGACTTCCCCATAGGGTTTTCCAGAGTTGTAGATCTTTATGAAAACTGCCTGCCACATCTTTCTTCCACAGAGCACCTCCAGGCCTCCGTTTCCTTCCGCTAATCCCCCTAAAAACTCCATTACCATGGATTCGAGTTCTGAATCATAGCAACTCTGGAAGAGAGGGGAGAAGTGCTCCTTGGGGTTTTCGGAAGGGTGGATGTCTCAAGTGAACAGACAACCTCTTTTTCTCTAGTGGAATGGATGATCTTTGTGAACATGGACTTCAGGTAGCACCCCACCAGGGCTTCTTTTTTGCCCTAAAGTGAGGCACATATGCAAATTCTTCATGACACTGTAAGGAATGGATCTCATTGGTGACCTGGGAATGCTTGCACTTTGATCACATGGTAACAGGTTTTACTCTTTGTCCTGCTTTATATAAAATCTTCTATTAGTTATGAGGTTAGTCTTCTATACCCAGGTACATTTGTAATTTTTACTGAAGCAAATTTGATTTGTTGCCCATGACTCTCCAAGTGTCAGTAAAACACTTTCTTTCTAACCTAATTTGATGTCAGATTTGGAAGAAATGTGTGGTGGTTGGCTGGCATTGCTTTTATTTTTCACCAAGTATTTGTCACACGTTACATACCATCTGAGAGACCTCTCAAGTCTTGCAATTCAGTGTATTAGGCACTCTGAAACACAGAGCCATTATAGAATATAGAAATTCTTCTATTTCTGAGATCTCTCTCCCACCACTTTACAATACATGGAGGCCAGCCTTCCCTTTTTACCTTTTTTCTGTGGACAGGCAAGAGTTGCCATCTTGGCAAAGTACCAGCTAGCTTAAAACAGGGAACTGCCAAAGTCATTCACGACTGCACACTCATCCCATATTCCACATGGAGATATCCACGACCTCATCCAGCCAGCCCTCCCAAGAGCATTTTTAAGCATAGTGGAATACAGTTTGTTTCAGATATGTGACATTGATGAGCCAGGGAAATGATTTCTTATTTATATTGAACAAATCAGTTTCTACACATCATTGAGACGCTTCTGATTTTTGAGTGGGTGTTATGGCAAAGCGTATTAGTTATGATATAGTGCACCTCCTTAGGAGAGCGTCATTGTGAACATACCAGTGCTAAAAGCAGTCGGGAACTTTGCACTATGGAAATATTACACGTGTAATCATCTGCATTCTTAATGTTCCAGAACCTTGGGGTTATTAGTAAAACGATTGGAGAAAGGTGGCAAGGCGGAACAAGAAAACCTTTTTCATGAGAATGATTGCATTGTCAGGATTAATGATGGCGACCTACGAAATAGAAGATTTGAACAGTAAGTGTGTGCTGGCTACACTGTTCCTCTCTCGTGCTTTCGGTGCAAGAGTGCAGTCAACAGTAATGTTTCAAACAGCGTATCTGTGATCTCTATCTTTTTACCGAAGTGGGGTTTTTACTGCCATTATCTAGCTTTTAAAAATGTAATCAACTCCAAGGTAATTACTACCATTAGTCCATATTTCAAAATACCCTGTGACTGAGAGACCCCTTTTAAAAATATTACGGACCTAATTTTGCTGCTTTCCCCCATTTAGAAAATTGGGCGGTATGCTACCTTTTATTATACTTTAACTCACATTTCTAAGTTTGGTTCACATAGTGTGATTTTTATATGAATAAACAGATAAAGCTCCTTAGACTCATGCTATCAGGCACACTCAAATTTTCAGATTTTCTTTATCCTGGTTCAAGATTTTACTCAACTTCTAAAAACGGAGCGGTTCTTATGAAGAAGGCAGAACTTCTCCCCATCAAGTTGATTTTTCTTTTTTACCTAGTGACCATCTAGGTAACAGAGTAGAACTGCCTCTTTGGGTTTGAGTTTCTGAGACTGAAACTCTTGAAGGGTGTCGAGAGCCTCATCTGGCCTCTGCAGAGTGGCTGTTGGTTTTGAACTGCTGCCTCTGCATAACCCGTTAGGCCACCAGGGTTCCTCCAAAAGGCAGAAGTCAGGGGCAAATCAAAGTCTCAGGGAGTGTGCTTCTCCTGTGCATTTTGGCGCACACTATAGTGCTGAAACCCACTGCCATTCACATGTTGAATCTCTGAGGCAACACTGCAGCTCTTATGATTTTTGGCATGCAGGGAATGGAATTATTTGTACCCATAGTTCTAACCCCCTTCCATCAAGTTGAATCCAACTCACAGGGACTAGATAGGGTTTCTGAGGCTTCAATTTTTTTTTTTGAGGCTATAAATGTTTATGGGAGCCGATAGTCTCATCTTTCTCTGTAGGAGCTGCTGGTGGGTTTTGAGCCAACCCTAGTGGTTGGCAGCATGGCCAAGCTCAATTGCTTTGCACTTTGAAAACGCCAACGGTCCACCTGTAAGGAAGTATTCTGTAATTTCCAAAAGTTGTATTGGGTCAAGTTGTACAGAAGTTGTTCTTGGGTCTTGTGAACAATGAGCTGTGGAATCCCTCTGTTGAGCATTATGCTTAAAACTGTCGCTGGATGACTCGTCGCTGAAAGCACAGCATGTTATCTGTGGTGGCCGGCCGGTGTGACATGGGCATTTTCGAGAATGAGAGGCGTCCATTTGAAGAAACAGCTTTGCAAGGCCAGCCAAGCTGATTGATAACTCGGTTATGAGTATTTTGCTTTTCCCTTTTCACCAAAGTCTGTCAGTCGGTGTGGCTTAATTAGCATCCCCAATTAAGCTCATGATATCTTCTAGCCTGCACGTCTTTCCTTTGCTAATTTTCCCATTCTTTCTAATACCCAGAGCACAGCATATGTTTCGCCAAGCCATGCGTACACCCATCATTTGGTTCCATGTGGTTCCTGCAGCAAATAAAGAGCAGTATGAACACCTGTCCCAAAGCGAGAAGAACAGCTACTACTCGAGCCGCTTCAGCCCAGACAGCCAGTATGTGGACAACCGGAGCGTGCACAGTGCAGGACCGCACACCACACCCAGAGTGCCCCGGCCGAACCATCCGCCCGAGCAGATAGACTCTCACCCCCGACTACCTCATAGTGCAAACCCTGCTGGGAAACCGCCATCAGCCCTGGCTCCAGCACCCCACCACGTGTTCAATACAAATGTCAGCGGTGGTTACAACACCAAGAAAATAGGAAAAAGACTTAATATCCAGCTGAAGAAAGGTAGGATGAGCCCATCGTACTTCACGCTTATGGAGTTTATTTGAAAGGTAGTGACCTAGCCCTGAACACCTTGACTTTCATCCTAGTATGTAAAAGAACGGATATTCAGAAGTTTTTCTTAAAAAGCATCGGTATGTGCTTTGAACGTGTTTAAAAATGGCAACTTCTATACTTTTCTGATTCATTTAGCAGTTTAGAAAGTCTGATGTAAACGTTCAGGAAATGACTTTGTCGGGTGTGGGGCTTAGAGCACGAAGGTGGTAGCTTTTATATTAGGAGGACTATTGATGGTGAGTGGATATGAAACAGGACCCTTTGGGGTGCTGTTATCAAACCTGTACATGCGATTGGCCCATGTGTCCAAACGCAGCCCTCAGGGAGGACTTTAGAGGACCTCCATTGTAGCTGCAACTGTTTATTTGAGGCTCTCAGTAGCTCACTGTGAAAGACCAAGGCACTTTGAAGGTCTCCCTTTCCTAGCGTGGGGACTCTACGTAGAGTGGGGTGGTTCAGGAAACACCCTTTTCTGTTCAGCCTGCTGCACAGCTCAGAGCCACCTGCTGGGCTTAATGGCTCGCTGACTTCCAAATCAGGGTCCTCTTGCCCCCCACCCCACCCCACCCCACCCCCTCTTTATACACACAGATAACACTTCTGCTTCTCATCACCCACTTGCAGTGAAGCATTTTGATCTTTTTAAAAACATGTTTTTCAAAATAGTGTTGTTAGCAAGAACAGTCCTCTTATTATGAACTCAACCCACTCCAGCTTAGCTGGAAATCGGTTCAAGAGAAGTTGAAAGACTTCGTGAAGTCACGTGGTGGCTGGAAGCAGATTCTTTCTGGAACATTCCCTTCTCCCGACGTTCAGGTCATTGGCGTAGGGTGTGTAAGGTGGTATGCTCAGAGACTGCGGTCTCGTTGAACTCTTCACCAACTACAGATTTCCTCATGTCTGGTGGCTGGGTTTTCAGCTCCCAATACTTGGTTGAGGGGAGCTGGCATGGACAGCTTGCCTCCCCTTTGGACACTCCTTACAAATACAGAGGCGGATCAGAACAAAAGCTTCTGTCAGCTCTCCCGGTTCCCAAATGAGGGAAATAGTAGATCCCTTAGCGTCTTTTCCTTTAGTCAAAAGACATGGCATGTGCTTTTGAGCAAAATTCTACCCACAGCCTGAAATATAGAGTGGAACAAATAATACAATTTTGCTTGGGATCAATCAGTTAAAGTGTTTTACTTGCCCATTGTTAGAAAGGTATTAGTTTTCTAACTATAGTTGCCCTTTTATACTTCTATGGGAATAGCCATTAGACAATTACCTGTTTTTCAGTGATTATATTTAATAAATTATGACATTAATATAAGCTGTCTAAATGAAGTGACATTTTATTTGCAATTTAATGTCAAATAAAGAATCGTTTTTTAAAACTAGAGAAACCCATAATTTTATTTTGATAACTGTTGACAAGATATAAATTTAATACTGTTTAACTAAGAATGACTGTGCTTTATCAGAATAAGAAAGATAGAAACAAGAGTTACATTTAAACCTTTTTTTAAGCCATGAGTAATCGGAATGATGTCAAGCCCAATATCTTTATCTTGGTTTTAGTTTAAGAACTATGAGGTTGTATGACAAAAGAACCAAACAAGCTGTGCGTGCTGCCAGTGCTTTCAGGTGGTTTATAAAATAATGTCTACTGTACACGTGAGTGAGGGAGGATGCTGGCATTCTTTGATCAGTTCCAAGTACAGATATTTTAATAATAGTAATCTCAGGGGAATTGAATACCCCTTTGTTGTTGCTAGCAGATAGTAATTTTGCTAATTATGACCATTGCATTTAACATTTTTAATGAGCAGCACTACAAACAGGGTGTGAATGTTACATTTTAAATCGTAGTTCAAAGTGCAGTACATGTTCAGAGTTTAATTCAGTTCTCCGAAACCAAAATGAACCCTTCGAGCCCAAAGAGGAAGGCTTCATTAGCATGATCATTTGGTATCATTCTCCAGTTACATCATAGAACATGACAAACGACAATAGCCCCCAAATACTTGCTTCCATAATTATGATTTCTTCATATGTATTGCCATTTCGCTGTTCTCAAATACCCCGCTCTTAGGTAGAAATTAGCTTTTTAATAAAGTCAGAGGAGAAGGTCAGTAATCTGTTTCAGTCAGTGCAAAATGTTTTGTTGGCTTTGCTAAATGAAAATTGATATCTATTTATCTTTCTTTTAAAGGTCATTGCTTGAACTTTCATCTAACAGATTTAGGGGTTATTGCTGATATTTTAATGGTGTTGAGGCTCATATAACAGTCTTTGTAGTTCATACAAATTAATATTGCAAAGGGAGAATAATTTAGCATTCTTTCTTAATAAATGTTATTGCAAGTCATTAGAGTCCCATGAAATCACAGAGACATATGGAAAAATCCCAGCAGAATAATTAGGAAAATTTCATATAGACAGTGTGCCATTCAAGTTGTCTGCACAGAAGACTGAAGAAATTAACAGTCCAGGCACACTGGAGTGACTTCAGACTTCAAGTAAATGAATGCTTTGTTCGAACGGGAGAATATTGATAGGAGATTTAGTTACAGGTATAATTACTGATGCTTCTCTCCTTTTCTGGATTTTGCTTCTTCTTTAGCCCATGTTTTCATGTATATCACTTGCCCATAGTTATCAGTTTGCATATAGATGTATACTTAATACCATAGCTAGCAACGTTAACTCTATTATTTTGTCCCCCACCCCCCACCCCCACCTTAATAGATGTCTTTGTTTTCCCCCTGAAGTGAGTGAGTCTTTGGCCCAAGTATCATTTTTAGCGAAAATGGAAGCTTGCAGTTGAATAAGTAACTGAGCTGAAATTAATGATGATTAGAGAGGTCATAAAGGTTCCCTGAATCATTAGAAATTAGCATTATCTTCACATTTTATCTTGGCACATTTTGGCTTATTGCATGTCGGTTCTGATGGCATATAAGCCCTTTTCCTACACTGTATGGAGCTTGTGAGACTGCCTGTCAAGAGAGCTGCCAAAGAACCTAGAATTTAAATTATACGAATCCGCCAAGTAATTTGTAAACGCCTCATTAATTTCAGTACCTTTAAGCAAAATGAGATAGCCACCATCTGAAATGGATTCTTTACCAAGAAATTTGCTTCATTCTAGTTTTTAAGAAACATAAAGAGTGTGATCTCGGTGAAATAAACGGGAAGTATGCCAAGATCATATGGTTCAATCCAGGTCGGTCGATTGCTCGGAGGACTTACTGTTTGGGGAATTTCCATTTTCTGTATCTCAAAAAATTGTCCCCTCCAGGCAGGCTTCTTTTCCATCTCCCTGAATATTTTCTTCTCCTTTGCGTCCAACCCATACTCTTTAAATAGGAACATGATGATTGCACAGAAACACTTAATTTTTGAGATACTACTATGGATCTTACTATAAGTTGGTTTTTGAAATGTAGTCTGTTTTTGTACACAAGGATTTAGATCAGCTGCAAAACTTTTAGCATGCCTACCTATTTATTAACTTTCACCCATCCTTGGGAAGATTGGCACCTCTCTTTAGTGTTTTATGAATAAACCATCAAATGTATCATGATTGTGTATTTTGAGAACTGTATGATGGTCCTAAGGCATGAGAGGGAATGTAAGCCACACTACTGAGTGTTTTATATGTCTTCAAGTTGGGCCACCGAGAAAATAGTGAATCATTTTGTTTATTTAGTTAATCCTTTAAACATGGTGAACTGTATAATTTATGTCTTTAAAGCTATTGTTTTAAATGTTGCTTATTCAGGGACAGAAGGCTTGGGGTTTAGCATCACTTCCCGAGATGTAACCATCGGTGGATCGGCTCCCATTTACGTGAAGAACATTCTTCCGAGAGGTGCTGCCATTCAGGACGGCAGACTCAAGGCAGGAGATAGGCTCCTAGAGGTGAGTGAGTTCTCTACATACCCAAAGTTCCTGAATCCTGGAAGAGTTGCATTTTCAGGAATCAAATCTTCTTAATCGTTTTGTGAAAGGAAATAAGCGATACATTTTTGGGAGAAATGTGTATCACTAAGTAATGCAATTGAATTTTCCTTTGGCTTTTTTTTCAGCATGATATTTCATGAGAAATATTTTTTTCTTTATTTCATGTGCTCATGAATTGTTAGTTATTTAGAAGCTTTGGTTTCTGGGATAGCATTTTATCATTATGTAAGAATACTTTTTTATCAGGTTATATTTCTAAGTGATTGAAACATTTTTGTCAAATCGTTTTGCTGTCTACTTTGTGATAAAAACAGAGACTGATGAAATAAATATACCCTGTTTCTTAGTGAGAGGGACAAAGGCATTTGAGATGGTAGATGAGAATGAAGTGAGACATAGTAGGTGCCAGAAAAAAAAAGAAATAGTGTTTAAAATGTTCTTTTTATGTAGCCTGAGCTTCCATGATCTGTTCTTTGAAGCTGTCTTTGTTGGTTATAAACACATATGCCCTCTGTTTATGTGGACTGTCTATCCAGTTAAATAGGAATAAAAACAAGACTGAGATTACAAAATAATACACTTTGTCAGCCATTTTTTTCTGCAGACCCCAGACTCTGTATTCAGTTACTGCGTTGCCCAGTCACTAACTGGAATTCCTGGACTGTTCAAATGATTAGCGGAGTGAGTTGCTAACCACAGGGTTACTAGCTTGAAAAGGTAGAGGCTGCAACCTCTGTTTCTTCAGAAACGGACTTTATTTTTCTATCACAGTCAGCTTTTTCTTAAACTAAAACTTACTTTCACACGTTTTAAACCTAATTTTCTAGTATCCACAGTCATATAGTCTCGGAAACCCTATAAAGGGTCGCTCTGACTCAGAATCAACATGAAGGCAGTCATTTTAGGATTGTCTATATAGTGTTTATATTTTGTGGACTGTTTATCCTAGACATCTGGATATTTTGATTCATATGTTTAGAGAGTTTCAAATGGCTTATCTTTTTTTGGTTTAGAAATATCTTGCTTTGGCTTAAAATTAACAGTATCTTTTTTAAAACTTAAAATAAATATCCTTTTGATTAGAAAAAGCTTATTTTCTTCAAACATATTTTATGGTTTTCTTTGAACCTATTTTTTTGCTTAAAATAAAAATATAACTTTTTGGCAAGAGGAAGGAAGTAGAAAGTAGAAATTATATATACACGTAGCTATATGTAAATATATAATTATATAAAGATAGGTGCATTTATCTGTGTGTATGTGTGTGTATAAACACAACAAGGAAGCAGATGGACTTTGGACCTCTACTTGAATTTTACCTCAATACAAGAACAGTTTGTTCTAATAATGTATCACTGTATGTTACTCACCTTCCCAACATGATCACTGAAGACAAAATGGGTGCATAAACACGTGGTGAAGAAACCTGATGGTGGCCAGCTATTAAAAGATATAGCATTCAGGGTCTTAAAATCTAGAAGTTAAATATGCGGCCATCTAGCAGGGAAACAACAAAGCCTACATGGAAGAAACACACCAGCCTATGGGATCATGTGGTGTTGATGGGAATAGGTATCAGAAGTTCAAAAACAAGCAATCATATTGACGTGAAGCAACATGGACAATGTGGAGATCCAAAGCTCACCTATAAGATAATGGGACAGTCTCTCACAGAAGGGCCACATGGAAGGAATGATATATCCAGCGTGCAGTATAGCACTGATGAAACACACAATTATCCTCTAGACCTTTAATATTTCCTCCCCTTATTATGATGGCCTTTGTTTTACCTCATTAATCTCGTTAGACCTGCATATGTTCACTTGTATAATTAAGATCCTTCCAGGCAGGAAAGCCAAGACATACAACCCTTCAGAATGGTAGTAATGGGAGTAATGATTCCCTGAGGGTACAGGAAGGGAGGGGAGGGGCAGATAGCAATAATGAAGGCATAACCCCACGCAAGGGGAAAGAATAATAGAATTGTGGGTGAACAAGTACATTGGATGGTGTAAGATAAGGCAAATTATACTAATAATATATAACAACAATAAGGATTATATATTATATGTAAGAATATAACAATAATAATATTAATAATATAACAATAATAATGGGGATTAGGGTGGGGGAGGGAGGGGATAAATAGGAACTGATATCAAAGTGTTCAAGAAGAAAATGTTTTGAAAATGATGGTGGTATCAATTTTACAATTATTCTTGATCTAAGTGAATTACGGATTGTTATAATATCTGTAAGAGCTCCCAATAAAATGATTAATAATAAATATATGTATCTTTTTGTATAAAAGTAATATTGCTTAGAAATCTTGCTTTCTTTGAACCTATTATTACTTACACTTTTCCTGCAACTTCTTTTTTTCCCCCTGCAACTTCTAATTGTAATACATTGTGGTATAAAAGGTTGATATTTGGTGATGGAACAGAGAATCAACAAAAAGTTTAAGAAAATTTTAAGAGTATCATTTAAATCACATACCTAATTGTGTAGTAGTGCTTTCTGCTATAATGTTGTTCTTCTACAAGGATTTACTGTGAGATCAAATTGATGTGCTTCTCTAGGAATTGGATTAATAAGTTTTTCTCTCTGTTTTTCCCTTATAGACTTCCTTTATAGCGTTAAAAAAATGAAGGTGGCATATTGTTTCCTTTCTAAAGATTTTGCCATTATTTGGTAGTGATTTTCCTTTAATGTTGCCCATCAGAGGGCAATCTATATTTTTCTTCATAGATTTTAGTAAAATTGGATTGAAAATTAAAATATTTAGACCAAAACACTTTCAGTGTGTTTTCACTACCCACTATAAAATCAGCACTTTCCTAGTTTGTTATTGGAGTAACTTTTCTATAGAATACCATCAAAATATCTTAGCATAAAGCAAGTGAATTTTGTTTCATTTGCCATTTTAAATGTCCTGGTGCTTGTAGCTTTGATCTGCTGATGAATATTAAAGCATTTACTGCTTATGCCTTATACTTGGATAGCTATTCTGATTTTCTTTGTCTACCGCAAAAGCTCCAAACCAAAATCAAACTCACTGCCATCAAGTCGATTTGGACTCAGAGTGATCCTGTAGGAAAGAGTAGAACTGCCTCTGGGGGTTTCCCAGGCTAGAACTCTTTTCAGGTGTAGAAAGTCTCATCTTTCTCCCACAGATTGTCTGGTGGTTTTGAACAGCTGACCTTGTCGTTTGTAGCCCAACTTGCAACCACTGCATCACAAAAGATCAGCGATGATTAAATGGTTGTTGGATTTACCATTGAATAAGTTCTGTTCCATAGCGGATTTGGCCAGTCTGAGAATGGGTGTCTTCGGTTTTGTTTGCCCAGAACTGCACTTACACCGATTTTTAATCTGTTTTAGGTCAATGGAGTCGATTTAGCAGGCAAATCCCAAGAGGAAGTTGTTTCCCTGTTGAGAAACACCAAGATGGAAGGGGTTGTGAGCCTTCTGGTCTTTCGCCAGGAAGACGCCTTCCACCCGAGGGAACTGGTGTGTAAATTTAGAGCAGATGAAAGACTTCTGAGGCCGATGAGCCAAGGAGCTGGCTTAGCTACCTGTAGCCAATGTTTATTGAGACATTTTCTAAAACGAAGAATGTTCGTATGATACATTTCCTTCAGCTTTCGCCAAACACAAGCATTTTTTTTTCCTCATACTCCTAGTTGTAGAAGTAGGCATCTATAGTCATGAGCGTAGAGTTATTTCAAAGTCAGATTAGAGGGCTATTACCTTGGGCAGCAAATGTTTGTTACTGAAAAGCTCTCGGATGGACTGATTGAGTTCAGAGAAGTTGACTACTTCGTATCTGTTACTCCAAGCGTGGTGGCTGAAGGCTTGCCACATTCTTGAGTAGATAGATATGATGCATGTATTTTTCATGGTTTATGTAGCAAGTCAAATAAAGGTATTTGCTTGCTGTTGCACCTAAAAGGGTACTTAAAAAATAAATAAAAGCTTTGAAGGAAAAGATCCTAAGTAGCAATAAGTCCCATGGCTAGATAACATAATTTGGAGCAATATAAATGAAATTAAATGGCACTTGTTTACAAACTAGCTATTCCCCTTTTAATAAATGCCTTGGCATGCCTAGCTATTAGACACGGGCATTATGTTGGATTGATGTGAATGAAATGTGTGTATTAACGTTACATGGTTCTGAACATTTTCTGGTATAACTGCTAGGTTTTACATACCTGAAAAACTTACATAATTAGAACAGTTACCTTTGTCTTCTGTTGTGTTGGCAAATCGATTTACTTCATATACATGTGGTATTTTAAATATGTCAAGACAGATCCTAATTGGGTCACTTTATAATATTTGACATTTCTTTCAGCTAGCTTTTAGTTTTTGTCTAAACAATCTAAACAATCATTAATCTTTACAAACTTACAGCAGCAAATGTTTAAGAGTGCTGTTCCCAAATTTGTCATGTAGCCTAATATCCTTGGGCCCTGGCTTCAGGTGGGGATGTGTCAGGCTTGATAATCTCGGTTCCTTACTATAATCCGGCCACGTTTTAATTGCATATCTATTCTTGGTCACACACACACACACACACACACACACACACCACTCACTAAGTTTTTGTGTAAATTCTAGATTGTGGTGGGGCTTAAAGAGTGGACACTCAAGTTGTAAAAAGAGTTTGTATAAACTACAGAAACGTCGTTATGTTTGAAAATGTTTGATTCAACTCTTTCTCCATTTAAATTCCGTTTCCCATTTTTCTCCTACTGTTATCCAATTATATCCTTAGAATGCCACCTGATCCTAAATCTGGGGATGCCTCCATTAAATTGTAAATGAGCACTTTCTGAAAAGGAAAATAAGCTTTAGACGTGATTTGATGGCTCTCATTCCTCCTCACTTGATCTGGGCCCGGGCAATAGTTGGTTCTTCGAGTGCCAAAGCTGGAAGCACTGCTCTTAAGCAGGCTTTCCAGAGCTGGGGCCAACAGCCAGCCATCCCAAGGTTATTCAGGGTCTTCTCGTCCAAGTTTGATCTTCCCGGCTTCTGTTTTCCCCTTCTGCTGCCTAGTTTGTCCTTTTTGTTGTTGTTGTTTTTATTTAATTTATTGCTTGTGGGTGTTTTATTAAAAAGTGAGCTAGTAGCCCATCAGTCTACCATGCACAATGCCTCTGCCTTTCAGAATCTGTAAGAAACCTGAAGACTTAAGTTATAGGGTGTGGGAGGTTTGAAAAAAATTGATCTTTCAACAAAATCTTTCCTTTGTTTGGAGTGTTTGTGTTTACATTCTGTGTTGAAGACTAACTCTTTTTAAAAATTTGTCCGTCTCTCATAAATTAAACTTCATGTCATTAAAGCAAGTTTACTTTATATGAAAAGGAAAATCCCTTTTGTTCCCAGGGCAATTTTAAAAAGTATAATGCTTGTGGTTCAGACTGTGGTTCTAGGCTATTGGTCTGGTCTAGCTATGAAAGGATCACATACGTTACTGCTTTGATTTTGTTGAGAGAATTAAAAACAAAGCAAGCACTAGAAAGAGTGACATGAGAAGACTTAACCAGTTTGGTGAGATTTGTTTCCCTCTAAAGAAATTTTTACTTGTTCACTGACATTTTACATCTAGAAAAGAAAAATCTTAAAACACACGCACACACACACACATATCAACAAAATAAGCACCCCAGTGACCGTTTGGAGGGCATAATTCAACTACATTTTTTATAATTTGTTGATTTTCAAGAACCACCAAAATTTCTTTTAAATAAAGTTTTATGTCCCTAAATGTTAAAGATGGCTTTGGTCAGTCTGTATTTATGTTTTTCTTCAATTCTTCTAGAATGCAGAGCCAAGCCAGATGCAGATTCCAAAAGAAACGGTAAGAGTTTTGTCTTTTGCAGGACGTAGAAATATGTAGAACTAACTTCTTACTAATTAAACGTGAAGTTACAAGCCCTCCTCTTTCTTTCCTGGTGCATAATAGGTAATATTTAGGTTTATTCAATTCCAAAGTAGTCTTATTTTAAGGTTTATTACTGGTACAATTCCCAATACTGAATACTCTGTGATAATTTTTGGATGATGAGGCATAAAGAGAGAGTAGAGACATTTCTCGTTCATTCCTGTAATAAGAGGTGAGCCAATTGTTTGAAAACTAGGCCTTGGAAGTAGTAGGGGAGAGGGCTTCAGATGTGGTGAAAAGCCATCTTACAAGTGACTGCAACTTTCCAGGAAAACAACATTTTAAAAAGCTTGTTTCAGCTAAGGAAAATTCAGAGAGGTTTAAAAGAGTACAATAAAAACATCATAAATAGGAAGATTAATATATGTCTATAGTTAGGCCTAATTTATCAGTTATCCTAATAACTATGTAAAAGTCAAAAAATCCTAGATCTTTCCAACTCCCAGATCAAAACCAAAAAAAAAAAAACCCAAACAAACCCAATGCCATTGAGTTGAGTCCAACTCATAATGACCCTATTGGACAGAACAGAACTGCCTCGGCGCATTTCTGAGACTGAAGGTAAGCTTCATCTTTCTCCTGTGCAGTGGCTTGTGCTTGAGAACTGCCAACCTTGTGGTTAGCAGCCACTACCCCACAAGGTCTCCTCCCAGATCAAATTAAAAAGCAGAAATAGTTTCGTTCTGTGCAGTAGACAAATTCTAATTTGGACTGTACAGCGTATCCTGAGTTCTTGCAGTTAGTGCTTCAAAACCCAAACCAAGCTCACTGCCAGTGAGTCAGTTCTGACGCATAGTGACGCTATAAGGCAAGGTGAAACTGCCCCCTTGGATTCTGAGACTGTACCTCCTTACCCAAGTGGAAAGCCTGGTCTTTGTCCTGAGGTACTGCTGGCCGTTTCCAACTGCTGACCTTGAGTTAGCTGCGCAGTATACAACCCACCATGCGTGCCACCCGGAATCCCTTGAAGTCCCTTGTAGGGACTGCTAGCAGAGTTTAAAGATTGCCATGTGAGCATCAGTGAAAGTATCTTACTGTGAATAGACTCGACATCTGACAACAAAGAAGCAGGTTTTTCTTGGTGCACGATATTATCCATCAGCAATTCTAGCACTCAAAATCACTTCTGTATCAAACAACATCATCCCCAAATATATTTCTGTATGCCAGGATTGAAAGTGAAATCTTTGTTTTCAGTAGGCTTTATAAAAGCTTTAGTTACATGTATACAATTTTACAATTTCCATATGTATAGTGTATAATAATGATACATGTTTCTCCAAATTGTCATGTTACCTAGTCATGAGAGGAAAATGAAAAGAATAACAAAAATTGGAAAATTCAATGAACAGACTTGATTTTCTTTTCACATTCCTATACAGGCAACTTTCCTTCTAGAAAATAAGCAAACAAACAAATAGACATGTTATTTGTAAGTATTTCATTATTATCAAAACACATGATAAACCAGGCATCAGAAGAAAGTCATTGAAAATTTGCACATGATTAAATATGGATTGAAAATGTATAGTGTAGCTTTATTTTGTCTGTGTGTGTGTGTGTCTGTATAAAATATCAGTAAGAGCTAATTCAAACCATGATGGTGTGCACGAGGCCAATTATCCTAAAGAATAATTTGCTATGTTATTTATATAAGCTATGTATTCAAATGGAATTCAGTTATATTATTTTAAAGAGTTAAACTCTGAAGAATGCAGTTAGGTATACTATTTAGACTGGAATCCAGTTATATACGTTTAAAGATAATAATAGCAAAGTGTACCATAAAACTACAATATTTAAATCGGAGTGGTATTGTTATGGCATTAGGCAAATTGGTCATGTAAAAAGATTTTAGGGTACAGAAGCAGCAGTGGTTTTGATATGTGTGTGCGTGTGTTGAGTAGGTGTTTTAGGCACATACTAGTAGTAAAGAATGGCTTATTAGGATCGAGGGCAATTGCTTGCCCTTTCACTGGAAAAAGCCAAGGTTAGTTAGATTTCTCTTCCTCACCACATACCAAAGTAAATCCAGAGTTGATTATGAGTTTATACCTAAAAATATATAGTTAACTTTGGATTGTGAATGCCTGTCCAGGCATGGTAGAACAAAATGTCTTAAGAAAATAGACGGACAGATTTGTTTATGTAAATATTAAAACATTTCTGTAACAGTAACCATACTGTGGAATCATGACAAGATAAATCCTCAATGGTCAAATATTTACAACCTGTTTCCTGGGTAGAGAGCCATTGACTTTGAAGTTTGGACCTTTAATATCCTAGAAGTTTCTTTGAAGACTGAATGAATTCATAGCACACTCTGTGAACAGCAGGAAAATCTGAGATGGAAAATAAGCAGTGAGGATAGGTATGTCCTTTCAAACATTTGGTTCCTGTTGAGGATGCTGATTAGCAAGCATCAACTATACAGTTATTGAGAGAGAGAAACAGTATTGCCTTAAATTTAGTATTAAGACATAATTCTCGTAGATGAAAGCTATAGGAGAAGAATGCAGCATTAGCAGCAGAGAAAGATCCAGTAATAACCCGTGAGGTACAGATGACACTAACTTGCTTGCTGTAAGCAAAGATGCCTTTTTAAGGAAAAACAAAGACTACAGCTTTCATGTTGAATTATGCTGATTGAACATGAAAAGCAACATCCTCACTGCTGGACCAGTACACAACATAATGGTGGGTAGAGAGGATCCTGTGAACGAACTCATTTTACTTGGGTCTGACGCCCAAGGACGAAGCAATCAGGAGATCAAATGACAGAAAGCTTTGGGCAAATCTATGCAAGAACTCTTTAAGGGGACAAAGGTGCTCGTGACCCAGCGCTTGGTTACTTGCCATCACCTCATAGGTATGCTGACACTGAGCAATGACTATGGAAGATCAAAGAATTGCTACATTAGCAGTCTGCTGTTCTCGCTCACCGAACTCACTGCTGACTCCTGGTGTTAGTGGAGAATATTGAATGTACCACGAGCTCTTAGAAGAACAAACAAATCTCTGGTCAGGAATACGGTCCGAATACTTACAGGTGAGGATGGCGAGGCGTTATCTGGAGTTCTTTCAACATGGCAGCAGGAGAGAAAGGGAAAATTTTGGAAAGAACAATTAACACAGTGGCTTCAACCGTGGGTTCAAGAACAGTGTGGAAGTAATTAGCCACATGCTCCATATCCTCCTCCACAAAAATGGATATTTGTATATGTAAAATTTCTAATTTTTTTTAAGGGGGACTTAGGGTGAAGGGAGAAGCCAAGGTAGTATTCTGTTCTTTTGTACAGAGAGGATTGCTATGCATCAGAACCCGCTCAATGGCATCTAATAACAGCAATATTAAGAAATGCACGGTTCACAGTGACCTTGCAATTAGCAGATGAGTGCTTCGTCCAAGGCGCCACTAGGGTTCCTTTGATTTATCAACGGCCCCGTTCGATGTGATTACTTATACCTGAATACAGTCCCGCTCAGTTATGGGCAAGTGGAGTTTTCTCTGTTTTACCCAACGTGCTATAAAAACATGGCTCAAAGTCATGTCCGCCTCATGTGCTTTCTCCTCTGTGGTTGCTAGGCACTGCTGAGTTCCCTCCTAACTCACTGCCCTCAAGTTGGCACTGACCCGTAGCAACTGTGAAGGACAGGATAGAAACCTGTGTGTTTCCCAGACTGTAACTCTTCATGGGTAGGAGTAGAAACCCCTACTTTCCCCTTCAGAGCTGCTGCTCTTTGAAACTGCTGACCTTGCAGATTGCAGCCCAACCAGTAACCACTAATCCACCAGGGCTCCTCACAGTACCCCCCACCCCCAATTGAAAAAATAAAATAAACCCAAGGACCACTCCCCCCCCCACACACACACACACATACCACTACCCCACCTCCATACCCACATACACACTACCAAGCCTTTGTGCTTAAACTAGTTCCATTTGGTTCTCTATGTTTTTTTCTGGGCAGTGCCATTTTTTATGAGTAAAGACATCATGTCAAAAACTATACTTACAAAATTGCTTGCGGGGTGGGGGTGGGGTGTCTCTGATTGAATTTATACCTTTCCATGCCAAGTATGTTTCGCATATTTCAAACATTACTGCTTGGACGCACTGGAACCCAAGGAAGACTCCAGTACAGGCGTGCGTCATTTGTAGCGTCGTTCTGAGTTTCAGGACGGAGCTGCTCTATTTGCTCAAGGCTGAGAAGTAGGGACAACGCTTCCACTAAGGAGTTCCCTGTAATGCTCAATCCAGTCTCCACTTTCATTTCTTTTTGAATCAACATAGATTTTGAACCAAACCATCATTTATTCGCTTTAAACCATAGAAAAGGGACCTCTGTTTTTCCCTAAGAGCAGTATCATTGCTCTCAGTAACTATGCATAATTCCTATCTGCTCACACAAAATAGTTTCAGCTTGAAAAGTCAGCATTGGCTAGAACTTTGAAGTCCTATCAAGGACGACTGTTTCCTCCATCTCTTGTTCCTGAAGGTCTCGAGGTTCCAGGAAGAAGGAGAAGACACTGACAAAAGCCCTTCCTTTCGGGTCTTCCACTGAAAGGCGAAGACAGGCACTAACAAATGCAGGAAAACTAGGTGGTTCTTAAACTGGGGGAAGCTCTGAACATTCTGAAAAACCACAGCATACATCTAATTTCTTACTCTTAAATAGTTTTTCTGCGCCATTAAATATTTTGCTAGGACAATGTCACAGTGTTCCATTATATGGGTATGCTGAATTTATTTAACTTGGTGTCTTACATGTAGACTGCAATCAGATTTAGCTACAATAACTGAAGCAGCGAATATATTTGCAGTTAAATATGTGCATGGCCAAAAAATCATCTTTCAAAGATATTGTACCAAAAATGTTATTTCCTGGATTATGCAGTTAGCAAAGTATAGAGG